CAAAATGTCTAAGTACCATCATTACATCTCTGTTCTGAATTTGGAAAAAAAGATTAAGTTGAAATGTTAATTCTACCAGATTAATGAAATAATACACACAAACATGAGAGATGCAGAATTGGAAGAAATCCAAGCTTCCACTTATTGAAAAGAATCTTTTCTACCATGGCAGATGATTCTCCAGCCTAAACATTTCAAACGATGGGGAGCTGTCCACACTCCAAGGTTGCCACCTCTTTGTATTTTGGATTCATTATGAGACTTAAGTATCAGAAACCACATGCCTGGGTCTAAGCTATGCCTCTTTATTAGTTCATATGCATAGTGCCAGGTCCCCCATTTCATCCTGAAACCTACCACACTATGTGAAGCCACCAATTCCAACCATAGGCAACTTGGGAACAGCAAGTCCAGTACTCTGGCATTTCAATAATATCTCAGCTCCCCTGGCCCCTCCCATCATTTTGGCTGTAACAGTGAAGACACACATTTCCAAATGACAGTTGTATCCAAAGACCATCAAAGTTTAGCATGAGCAAAGCCCCACAAGATGCCCAGTAAGGATGGATTCAGAAGGGAAGCTATCTGGTTACTGTAGAGTACAATGCAGGTAAGCAGGTAGATGGGAAACTGACAGAGTTAGAAGGTTCCTGATGTCACAGAGAGTAGTAATTACACAAAACAAGTGTGAACATTAGGCCTCAATGAAGCAAATCCAGGAGCTCCAAAAAGGGAACTACTGGGCAAAGATCCAGTCAGCTGAAGGCCCTGCTGTCTGCTGCAGCTTTCTCAGATGGGTGTCATGTGGCTGGCCTGATGGGCAAGAGAAAAGAAGCCCGCAAAGAGGCTAGATCTGGCTGTCAGAGCTCTGCCGAAGTACAATTGCTGAGATGCAGCTGACAGGAAGGAAGGCAGGCAAATAGGGCCAAGAGAGTCCTATTCCTGCCTGTGCTCTGTTCTCCTCTGGGGTGGCAGACTTGCAGATCTCAGCAGCACCGACCAAAGAAAATGTAGAGCCCCAGTGCTGGGATCACAGAGCCAGGAAGAAAGGTGAGTTTGGACTTGAGACATCAGTTTGACAACTGGCACAGAAGTGCCTGGTCATCCTCTCATTTAGCACACGTGACTGAGATTCAGCGCATTGAAGAGGTTTGTCTAGGGCCCCACATCTCCTAGCAGGCATTACGTAAAAATGTAATGCCAATGAAAATTTACTTCCAAATGTTAGAAGCCTGTTACCTTTGAATCTATTTATCTGGCAAAGAATTGTATAAAACAGTAGCTCCACACCCTCCTTGAATGCAAAATACATATATTCCAAGACCCCAGGTCTAAGCCTGAAATCAAGAGTAGTGCTGACCTCTATATATACTACCCTTTTGCCTGTACATACTAATGAAAAAGTTTAACTTATCAATTGAACACAGTAAGAGATTAATAATAAATAAATATTAATTAAACAGAACAATCAACCCAATGTAATAGAGTTATTTAAAACTGTGATTGTTTATTTCTAGTATAATTTCCCAGCTAGCATTTCTACATTACAGCTGATTGTGGATTTGTGAAGCTGCGGAAGGTGAACCTGTGGATAAAGAGGCACTGTACCTAAAATATATTTAGATGAGACATTTTGAAACTAATGTTATGGCTTGTATAAGTCATACTAATTATAGTAATTTGTGAAACTTAAGTTAATTACCAAGCTCTAGAATTATGATTATGTATGCTAATACTAAGGGTCAGATCAACTTTGTTGCTACTTTCTAATTACAGCATCAAGCCCTTGTCCATGTGTGTGCTGTTTTGGTGGCTTTTTGTTCATCTGGTGTGTCACAACCACAAGACTCCAAGACTTTATAGCAGGACTGTTACACATCAGTGTTCTATGAGAGGCGAGGAATGAAAGCCAAAGGAGAAGTTAGGGAAAACATCCTCAGATGACAAATCCGGTGATGTCAGATTGTGACTTTCATCACAAGATTTCTGCTTCCCTAGGATATCAGAAATGATAGTTTGGCATATCTTAGGATCACCTCAGAACAGTCGCAGATGCTCTAATGAAAACAGAAAAGCACAGGGTCTGTGGAATATTGAATCTCAGTTCTGCCAGTGTCAAGGTGACCTTCACTAAATTAGTTTAGTGTCTTGTTCAACAGGGATGCAAATGCTCGCTTCTTCATTTAACAACTATTTGTGGCATGCCAGCCCTGTGCCCAGCACAGCTGTAAAAATTAGGGACCAGTGAATCCTTTTGTCCTTAAGGGATTCCCCTGAATTTCAGTAGAAGAAGGCAGTAGATAAACACACGAATGCAGAAAATGTTAGGTGGCAGTAAATAATATAGAAAAAATCAGAATAGGAGAGTGGAGGATAATGGGGAGATAATTTTTATAGAACGGATAGAGACATCTTGTCTGATAACATAACATCCTAACAAATATCTGAAGGAAGAAGGGAACATGGTGATACCTGGAGAAGCTTTCCTGACAGTAGGCTGTGGAGGTGCAAGGACCTGTGAGGGATGTGCTTCAGCAGGACCGGGTGAGACACGAGGGGCGAGATGAGGCAAGAGGTGGGGCAGCCTGGGCGGGGAGCCAGAAGTGGACTATGCCCTGGGAACACACTGAAAGTTTTGATCAGAGGTCTGATGTCACCTGAATTGTTTTTATTTCTGGATGATGAATAGACAATGGGGAATGAGTTAGGAAGATAGGACTGCTGTCCGGGCCAAACATAATAATGGCTTGAAAAAAGATGTAAGGAGTAGAGGTGTTGAAAAGTGAAAGGGCTTAGAATAAGCTAAAAGCACAAGCCAATGAAATTGCTGATGCTCAGGGAGAGGAGAGGTGAAGAGTAACCCCAGAGCTTTGACATGAGCAGCAGGAAGGAAAGCAATGCTGAGCTAGGAAAGCAGGAGCGGCCGCTTCACCACGGCAGCCCTGCTGTGAGATAACGAAGCAGCGCAGCAGCCAAGATCCAAGGGAAACTAGCTCCCTGGCGGCCCAGGCCGGAGGTCACCCATCCTGAGGTCCTGCCTGTCCTTCCTAACACTCCTTATGCGTCTTCACGCTCTGGATGAGTCCACTCACCACCCCGCCCACCTGCCTCCTCCCCAGATGAATGTGTAGTCACAGTGTCCCTCTGCAGAAGGAGGTTCAGCCAACACTTATCTACAAAAACTCCTGAAAGACTCAATAGGGATAGACACATCACGTTTTAAAATAAACAAACATTTCATATTAAAACAATACACAGGGCTGGCCAAATAGCTCAACGGATTAAAGCACCTGCAAGCAGACACAGGGACCGGGGTTTCAATCCCTGGGCCTGCTGTGCTGGCTCCACTCCCGGGTGCGCTGAGACAGCAATTGAGACTGGGCATGGTGGTGCGCACCTATAACCCCAGCTCTTGGGAGGCTGTAAACAGGCAGGTCACTATGAGTCCGATCTAGTAGTGAGACGCTGAACACCCTGTAGATCCTTCCCTAAAATTAAAACAAAACAAAACAAAAAAATACACATATTAGTCCTCCTAACACTTCAACTTACTTAAAGTTCTTCCTGCAACTTTCCCTGTTTTTAAATAGAAATTCTGAGAACAGTGAAATATAAGAATTTTTGAAGAGAAGCTAAGAAACAAAGTCACCAAAAATTTCTAGAAACACTTATTGAATATGTATCTCTTGGCAAAAGTTCCTACTGATTTTATTCTTTTGTATAAAATTTTGAAGCATATTATAAGGAAAAAATTAATGCAAATATCTGTGCACTCATATTATGTAAATAGATCGGAGCAACATTCGATCCAGTGCCAACCTGAAAAATAACCACCATGTAGACAGATGCATCCAGTTCAGTTCTTCAAAATTCTTTACTGCAGCTTCATTTGAGACGTCAGTATTCAGTTCACATATCTCTATGCTCTTAAGAATCATCAGCATTTAATTTATGAGTGTTTTTAGATGGAAAGGTTCTACTTAAAATTCATTTCAGTCCCCTAGTCTGAATCGTGGAATACTTATATCTTGTGTTTTTTCCAAAGCCCTCCTCTCTGCTTAATTTTCCATAATTAATCTAATCTTCAATCCAAAGTAGAATGCAGCTCACACCACTTTCCCCCCTCCAAAGCAGGGGCAATAGCAGAGAGAACAACAGAGTCCGCGGTCAAGTAACTTAGTGTCCCATCCTTGCAACTCTACCCCCAAGGAGCACCTAATGTGTGTGTGACCTCAAACCTCACTCAAAGCTGACTATACTGAGAAATGAATCGTGCAGCTGGCAAGGAGCAGCTGACAGCCCATTGCTGCGGAAAAGCTCACAAAAAGCAACCAGTTTACCTTCAAGGAGCACGTGTGCTCACTTCCCTGGGTAGGTGCACTCACTAGACTGTTCAGCTGGAGACAGACAGAGTACCCAGCTTTGCCAAAGAGGCAAACAAGCAAACAAGGGCTCCTCTCTCTTGCTTGGCAAGCAGGAACATTGGCAGGAGCAACAAAACTCTTGTCGATGTCTTAGGTTTGTGACTCATGGCTTTTAATACTAAATTATAGTGTGACAGGTACATATTCATGCTCCCCAAGTTACATAATGGAAAGCAAATATCTGAGCAAATGCACCAATCTTTAGCATGAAATGCAGCAAGGTGATGGGCACTGGCTATGAGAAGCCAGAGTCGACTATAAAGTCTTGCTCCTGTATTTCCAAGTATAATTTTCTAATTCATGACCTGGGATTCATCTACCTTCAGAAAGAATTTACTTCTGCTTTTTATTAATCGATTTCCTAGTGCTTTTCTTTATGCTTACCCATGCAAGACCTGTGATCAAAGCAAGGAGCAATACTTGCCTAGGTCTCATATCATGAGATTATTAAGAGTAATTATTATTAAGAGTTCTTACTCTACTGACACGGACTCCATTTTCCAGTCAGCATAGTGCCAAGCTTTGACTTTGATGGACAAGAAAACTGGTTTTGACTTGTCTGTGCTTCAATTTCAGGGATAGTTGCTGTTCTCTTCTGTGGAGTCACACAGGCACATTATACCTACAACAATCTGTCATCGGATTCGAAGATGAGAACAAAACAGGTAAAATAAAGAAAACTGACTACCAATGTCTCTTTCACAGTGCAGTGGTTGTGCGGCAATTCTGCCAGTGCTCTCAGAGAGGGTTTCATTCGTAAAGGAAGAAAGTCAGTTAAGGCTTCATTACGGGTTGGATATTTATAGATATTTTTTTCCCTCCAGGATAACCATTAAAAATTCTCTTGGTAAGCAAAAATATAGTTATAATAGTCTCTTCCTCCTGAGAGATGGGGAATACAGACTGTCAATCTCAAAGATGAAAGGCCCACACTCAGGAATAATTCACAGTCACTTACATCTAAAAGCATTATAAAGCATGTGAGATGGGGACGTTATAGAGAAAGAAGGGAGTGAAGAAGAACATGGAAGTGATGTTTGGTCTTTCACTGAGTTGTGCTCCAAAGCAAATTCAACGGCCTGCCAGTTGTCACCCCAGCAGAGTATGTCTGCCTTATTTTGAAAACACATGTGTTTAGATATTTACATGTGAACATACACAGACTCCTCCATAAAGATTTTCTATAAAGCTGCTCTGTGCCAAATATTGTGCTAGGTTCCAGGAATACATGACTAGTAGAAGGCTTTCTCTTTGAGAGATTCATTCCTGGGCTCACTGGTGAGGACAAAGCATGTAGTGGTCAGGAATCCACAGTGCATGAGTCATGCAATAAACGCTGTGACCTCGACATCCATAGAGAGTATCTGGAGAATAATTAGTAGGGCATCCTCCCATGATTAGGAGTAAGAAAGTAAGGAGGCAGATTCCAGAGATGATGCAACTAGAAGTAGTTTCCTGTGGCTGGTGCATGAGGTGAGGCTGAAGAAAATGGGACACAGAGAAGGAAGCATCCTCAGATGTGGCCACGTTTATGAAGGGATACTTGGCAAAACAATTTAGACTTTATCATAAGGGTAGTAAGGAGTGGCTTAAACAACAGTAATTTATGGCTTCACAGTTCTGGAGTCCAGAAGACTAAAATGAAGGTATTGTTAGGGCTAGTGCCTTCTAAAACTTGTGAAGGAGAAAAATATATCTGTCTTCCTCTCCAATTCTGATAGTTTTCTGGAAATCCTTTGTGTTCCCTGGCTTGTAGACACATTATGTTAATCTTCACATGGCGTTCCCCTGGTGTGCCTGTCTAATTCTAAATGTCCCCTTGTTAGCTGGCATAGTGGTGCATGCCTATAACCTCAGCACTTGGAAGGTGGAGGCAAGAGGATGTCAGAGTTTGAGACCAGCCTGGGCTACACAGTGAGTTCAAGTTCAGCCTGAACTGCATAACAAGACCTTATCTTACCTCCCACAAAAAAATCCCACTTCTTATCAGGACAGATGTCATATTTGGTTAAGGGCCTACCCTATTCCAATATGAGTTTATCTAAACTAATTATATTTTCAGCACCCCAAATTTCCAATAAAATCACATTCATTTGAGGTGCTGAGAATTGGGTTTTCAGCATATGAACTTTGGGGAACCCAATTCATCCCCAACAGGGCATTATTGAACAACCTTAGGCAGAATAATTTAGCATAATTTCAGTTCCAGTTTAGAAATATTCTACCAATATGAGAAACATGGATCAAAGGCACTTTATCAGATAGCTTTTGCTGTGTTACAGACAACCATACAACCAAAGAGCACCCAACAGATGAACACTTATTTATCTCTTACCTGCATGATTCAGTGATTTGGAACTGGGCTGAGATTGAGGGTTGTGTTTGTACCTTCATTATCCATATGTCTGTTGGTTTGTGACGGGCTCCATCCCATGGTTAGCTTGACTGGGGCATCTTGCCTTTGCCATGTGTTTGTTATTCTTCACCTGTCAGGAGAGCAAGCTCCAGTGTTGAAGTAAATCCACTCATTTTCTAGTATCATATCACCTAAAATTTCTATTGGCCAAGACAAATCATATGTCTCAGTCCAAAGTCTAGAAGCCAAGCAGCAGGCAAGTGCTGCAAAGTCACGTAGCAGGGAGTATGGATACGGGAAATGACGAAGACTGGATGAATGATGTACTCTATCCCAAATGTAAGTGGAGGCTGAGAGGCTCCTGTAACAAGTGATGATGCTAAGTGTGGTACTGGGGTGGTGAGAGTGCAGAAAACAATGTGACATCCAGGAAAAACCTGTGACTGGCCAGGAATTCCTCAATAGGAGTGCTGAAACGCATGCTGTGAACCACTCCATGCAGCCTCTTATTTTCATCCCTCTCACTTGGTTGTGTCCCAAGATCGGCTGACCCTGATGCCAACTCCTCCTGCCTAGGACTCTGCAAGGCCAACTTTCTGTTTTCCCTATCACTTGGAATGGTTCAGAGGCATCTCAAGATGCAATTGCAGAAATTTCAAGTGCCCTGAGCAAAGTAAAAATTTAAACAAACAACAACAGAAAACTAATACCAATATTCAGAAACCTCTAATCCATACTCTTCCCAAGATACTTTTAATTAAGATTACTAGCATTCTCCAAAACTTAAAGGAAAGTGTCTTGTGCTGGTTTTTCCTAGTCTCTTTAAAAGGTTCGCAGGGCATTTGTATTCTTGGAAGCTGAACCCTGTTTAGGGACCCGCAGTTTGAAGTCATGCTATGTAGACCGCTCAGCAGAACTTCAAAGATAACTTGTCTTGTGGCAAGACAGCAGCCCAGCACCTAGGGGAGATGGAGCCACAGTCTGTGCCCCACTGCCTTCTGTTCTCCCCGTGAATGGTTTGACAAGTATTCCCTGAGGGCTGCCCAAATTCATTTTGCAGCACAGTCCTCAAAGGAACGAGATTTTTCCCAAATTCTTTCTTTGACATCAAGATAACTACATCCCCCTCACTCCTGCTTCCTCTATGACCTTCTTTTCTGGGTACTTAGATCATAGTAGGAGCTTAACAAATGACGATATCCTTCTATTTCCTTCTCACGCATTTCTTCTCTCTTTTCTTTCTCTCTGGATCAATCATTTCCTATCCATTTTTCTCTCCTATAGCATGCACACATACTATGCATGCATATTTATATATACATGCATATCTATGATATACATCTACCCACACATACTCCAAGCTCTATAGAATTTATGGTCATCACACTGAAAGAAATGAAACCAGAAGTCCTCAGTTATATGTGTATCAGGGTAGCAAGCAGAACAGAAACTGTGGGAAACAAATTACAAATTGTAGAGAAATGCTGAGGCATGCATTATAACAGGCTGCCACTGTGCCCCTGTGAACCTGGGGTAGCTGCAGTGTATTACGAGAAATCACACTGGTACAGCCCCAGATCTCGTTCTGCATGCACCCAAACTGTGTTCACACTGCTGGAGGGAGAAGTAGTCACATAGCCTCTTTCTCTCTCTTCCTAGAACTATGAAATGAAAGTACAGGAAAGGACTTTTAGGAAAAATCCATAAAAATCAACTTTGTGATATAAAATCCAAAGATGATATGATTTACAGGGGAATTTTATTCATCCTCTGTCAATAACAGCTAATCAAGTAGCTATATATGGATACAAAAGATTTGAGAATTATACATTCTTTATAGCTTCAAGAGTTGACTGCCTTTTAAAAAATCATACTTTTCTTTTTAAACATGTTTTATAAATGTTAATTATCCTCAAATGCATATGGACTAATTTTTGCTTGAGCCTCTGAGAGAACATTATAATAAAGCTATGCATTAGGTACAAAGCAGCATAAAAGAGAGTCACTGTGAGGCTGTTGCCCACCATAAAGATTTGCTCGTGAATGGGAAAACATTCCATTAAAAAGTATGCACACCCAGGCAGCAATTCCTTTCCCGGTTTTGGAGTAGTTGCTGCTTTAGCTTGTACACATCCAGTCCTAGAGAGGAACAGGTACTGTGAGCCTCGCCTCCTGTTCTGGAAGCTGCTAAGGATACTCACATGGACATGGGCACCCACAGTCTGCAGCCTCCGGGCTCAGGCTAAGCCACCCTGAAGAATGTGTCAAGAGCTGGGCCCACACACATGGGTCCCAGCATGCCTCACCAGCCCACCCTCCCTCAGCCCTCACCCCTCAGGCAGGTCCGGGAGCTGGTTATCTCTGCCAGATGCCAGGTGTTTCCATCAGCTGTCTTTTCCTTGCCTGAGGCTCAGTTTCAAAACCAGTGCTTCCATGGCATCCCTTTTAACTAGAATTCCTCCCACTCGTCTTGCAGTTCTCACTCAAAAATTACTTCCAACAGATACACATGGATATATATGAATGTAAATAACTAACATTGTTTGTTCATTGACAAGTATGAAGTATTAATCTCATCTGCTTCCTAGTTACCTTTCTTCCTGAGAGGTAGATCTTTTTGTCAATATTAACCTTCATTCATTGAGCTAACATTTTTTGAGAGCCAACTTTCTGCTGCCACTGTTCAGAATGCTGGGGATTCAACAAAGAATCAAAGCATATTTAGTAGAAGAGCTTCATAGTAATCAAACTAAATAAGCAAGCCATATAGTGTATTTATCGTAAGTTGTAAAGCCAATACAAAATAGGAAACACAGGTAGGAGTGTTAATATGGAGAGGCAGGCTTATAATTTTAGATAGGGTAGACAGAAAAGGCCTCAGTAGGAAGTTGCTCTTACAGTAAATGAAAGAAGGAGCCATGTGGATGTTTGGAGTGATATTGTTCAGAAATCAGTAACAATGACTACAGAGTTCCCAGTTTCAGGAGGACCAACGTGTCTTGAGCACAGTGAACCTGAGGAGAACATGCGCAATAATATCAAGAGCAGGTCGTAGAGAGCCTGAATGTGGTGGAGGACGCTGCAAACTTTCCAGAACATTCATGTACAGGGTATGATTTATAGTTTAAAAGAATAGGAAAGTTACCTATGACTTTGGAAACAATTCAAGTGTAACAGGTTGGAAGATAATGAGAGATCCAGGGTCCAGTTAGAAAGTTTGGCGTGTGTTAGCCAATCCAGTAGAACTGTAGAGCAGCTGGTTGGATGTAAGGAGTGTGGTCTAAGCTGGAAATACAAAGGTGCGGGTCA